AGCGAGCCAGCAGTTCTAAAACAGAAGTAGTAGAGGAAGTAGGTCGGAATGAACTGGATGGAGGCGAGAGCGATGACCCAGCCGGTGCTCTGAGCCCAGGTCGGGAAGGTGACCCCTCGGTATCCTGCGCCAGACTGATTCAGCACAGTGTTCATGAGGATGCCCTGTTGACGAAATGCGTTTGGACTTCCAATTATGGTGCTGTGGTTCATTACTGTGTCTTTCTAGTTTAACATTTCTGGAATAAAGCAGTGCTGTGTTTCTACGTGATTTTTGAACAAATAGAAGCAAGGATAGAGATAATGACTTAGAGGAAATATTTTGCACAAGAACGATATTCATTTATAAAAAAAAAGAATGATAATAAAGTACATAAATAAAATTAAAAAGGAAAAGTACAATGAACATAACTGACCAGTAGCGATTCCCTTTGTTTCCATCCCATTATGACCTTAGTGTCTGCACCTTTTGGATGCCGCACTTTTTACACTGACGAGAACCACGAGAGGAGTGATGACTAGTTAATCTTTTTACTTACAACGAGCGCGTGTAAAGACCAGTTACTCTTTGTACTTACGAGGAGGACGAGGGGCGTGACGACCAGCCAAGTGCCCCACCAGCCGTAGCCAATGGGTCGTCCAGTCATCAGCTGAAGGTCCTGCACAGTTCGACCAGCGCCTTCAGGAGAGAGATCAGTAAGTGGACAGAAGAAAGTGCTTTTTGCATATAATATGACAGATGAAATGATACCGAAGTAATTGTGAAACCAGAACGATACTGATCATAATTGTTGTGATAATAAGTATGATAATGATAACAATAGGGACATATTTGTAAATGCTAATCATATTGATAACAATATATCTATCTTAAAATGATAACAAATGATTAAAGTCAAAATATTATTACATGGAGTTAGCCACACAAGTTGGATATAACAGACATACCTGTAGCTTCTTAATGCCAAAATCTAATAGGCTTCTACTTACCATAGGTGTAACTGAATATGCATATCTGGCAAAAACAAACGATAATAACGGTGAAAGAAGCACAGTACCAGTCGACCAGTGTTATCCAGTATATCCCACCCTGAAATGCAATATCAATCTGTACTTTCATACCCATGGGGCTCAAAAGAGTATTGAAATTCTTACATTCCGTTGCTCTTGTTAACGTTTCCTAAATCTTCATGCACCGTCTACTTACATCCGTTCCAAAGATGATCGTTGCCAAGAAGGAAATGAAGCAAACGAAGAAAGTGACCCAGTCTCTGCGACCACGTAACTTTGGGAATTCGTCCAAGACGCACAGTACTGGGGTCTCTGTGTGAGCGAACTGAAATGTAAGGCAGATGGTATGACGTTAGCTAGCCATTATCACCCACTGCTGCCTCTATAAACCGCACAAACACATCAGTGGCTCACATGGGGGTTAATCTTATCAAATGGAAGTATTATACGTGACGGACTTACACAGGCGTCAATGCCCAGGAAGAACAACATCAGGAAGAAGAGGACAGACCACAGGGGAGCAACCGGCATCAGAGACAAGGCCTCGGGGTAGACGACAAACACCAAGGACGGGCCTGAGTAAATGTTTTGATGCTCATATTAAAAATAAGTGCTGAAGTAAACCATGGTCAATCACCGATTACTAAATGTTCTTGCATTTGTTAAAGGCAGGAAGTAATATGACCAACCTTTAACAATCTTACCAGCAACAGCAAGTTCTTCAACGGAGACGCCCGCTCTCTTCGCCATGAAGCCGAGCACCGAGAAGACGACGAATCCCGCCAGGATGGAGGTGCTGCAGTTCAGGACGGGGACGATGAGCGCGTCTCTCGTGCACCGATTGCGGTACTTGTTGTAGGAGCCGAAGCAGATGAGCGACCCCCATCCTGGGCCCAAGGAGTAGAAGATCTGTATGGCCGCTGCCGCCCATACCTGGTCCAGGTGTGTGAAAAGAAGAAACGAGGTCATAGTCATTTTTTGTTTGTTTGGGGGGTTTTGTTTTTTTATGAGAAAGACTCAGATGACGCATATATGATTTTTCATTGAGATATCCTACAGTGTAGCTATTTACTTCACCTTCATCTCTTTGAGTCTGTTAAACTCGGGGTAGATGTAGAAGTAGATTCCATCCACGGCTCCCGGAAGTGTGACCCCACGTATCAGTAGACTGAACAGCATGACGAACGGGAAAATTGCTGTGAGCCACATGACCTGCACAGCATGGGAGCATGAAGACACCAAAGCATATCTGGTATGTCAGCATAACAGATTTTTCAAGGTAAATATCCAGTGTCCACATGTCTAATGCTGAACTAAATTTAAACCAATATATTCCCTTATTCTAACGCCTGACGTTAGTGAAATGTTAGCAAAGGAGCTTCTGAAAGTTCGCATTGGTAGAACCTTGTAAATAGCTGAGTTACCCCTCGAGATGGCACTTACTTTCCCCAGAATCTTGATCCCTTTGAAGACGCAGAAGAAGAGGAAGA